ACTAATGTGTTAGAATATTTCAACTAGTTTATTTGTCAACTACTGTGTTAGAATATTTCAACTAGTATATCAACTACTGTGTTAAAATATTTCAACTAGTTCATATATCAACTACTGTGTTAGAATATTTCAATTAGTTTATTTGTCAACTACTGTGTTAGAATATTTCAACTAGTTTATATATCAACTACTGTGTTAAAATATTTCAAATAGTTCATGTATATCAACTACTGTGTTAAAATATTTCAACTAGTTCATATATCAACTACTGTGTTAGAATATTTCAACTAGTTTATTTGTCAACTACTGTTAAAATATTTTTTTAAACAAAGTGCGTTTCTTTCAGAAATCAAATGCCTCCAGCTTGTCAGTCTTCAACTTCCAAATGTAGTAATAAGCGGCGAGCCAGCATGGCTCAACTGTACGTACGACTTAGAAACTGATGCTCTGTATGCCGTGAAATGGTACAAAAACGAAACTGAGTTTTACCGTTATGTTCCACGTGACGTTCCTCCTGCCCAGACTTACAACCTCCCGGGAGTTTATATAGATGTAAGTGAAGATATGTCTTGATATTGTCAGTTTTCCAGAAAAGATCATCATTTATTTAGTGTATATGTACATCATTTGTCTACAGGGAGTGATTCCAAAATCAGAAAGATTCAATATATTAATTATTAAACCATTTAGCAACGCTTATGCTGATGTTATTGGCGAGACGTTGCAGAAATGTATTCTATTGAAATGTAGATAAAAATAGGTTATCTGTTAAGCCTATTAAGTGTCATTGTCATCGAATTAATTTCGCTAAGGATCAGAAGCAGTTAGCATTAAGATCAGTGTATTTTGTTTTTGTTAGAAAGTTCTTTGTTTATTATTATTCAAGTCTCCGTTGTGCCCTCAGTAGGGAACTGACCCCGAATTTTAGCGTAATAAGCCACAAGGCTTACCACTAAACGACTGGGGAACCTATTAGGAATAGTAACTTTTATACACAAATATATTCTTGTTTATTTCAAAATATTGTAACAAATTCACAAATTTGTAAACTCACGTTAACAAAATTTCATAAGTCTCAACTCAAATACTGATTTCAAGACATTTTAAGGGATATAATCATTAAACAAAACAAAAACTTGTTCATCAGTCTATCTGAATTGTTCCACATAGGGCTAACACTATAATTAGTGTACAATAATTTGCTAGAGACCAGTAATTATGTTCTGTGCTCTTTTATTTTAGTTTACCGCATAACGTTTTGGGGCGTGTGCTGAAAGACGTATATATAAGTAACGTATAAGCAAACTGGAATGGAACAGGAAGTTAGACTTAAGAGCCACCTGAGGGGGGAAGAGGAAAGTTCTGCTGGCTCCGTCATTTTTTTTTATTTTTATCTAATAACAATGAGTTTGAGTGAGACCCATACTCGACTTGCAGTCTACAAAGTAACAGGATTTATGTTGTGTAAATAAGAAAACGTCTGGAACATAAAATCATTTGTTGCACAATCAAAATATTTGAATATAATTCGATAAATCGATATAATACACAGATCAATAACAACAAAGATATCTACAAAAATACTTCAGTTTCATTGACTGTACGTACAAAAGAGAATAAATACTGTTACGTCTCCGTTTGTTAATTAACTTTCCGTAACTTCGTTTCCGACGAAACTTTAGCGACACAAGTCCTTACTTAATAAACTGGTTTATTCTTTCCGAATACAACTTTACGATACACATAATTTCAATATTCGCGCTAAAACAAACACTATAACGAACGAACGTTAACTTCAACAATACCCTGTGACTGCAGTTCAATTACTCACTATCCACACACATATTACCGCGTCACGTTGTCACCCTCTTATATATACCAGACTACCCTATCTAGTAGATGCTAGGGCATTCGTGAAGGAACAAGATAGTTCTAGAAACTAGAGGGCGTGGTAATAGTCACGTGATCTCGATGACACAACAATACATTCCGCATGAAACAACTGACGTTTCAACTCACTTAAAAACAGCCTAGCGACACCACTTCGCCCCCTATTGGTACAGCGGTATGTCTGCGGACTCACACAGCTAGAAACCGGGTTTCGATACCCGTGGTAAGCTGAGCACAGATAGCCCATTGTGTAGCGTTGTGCTTAATTTCAAACAATCAATCAATCGACACCACTTCGTCCCCATAAACAAAGTAAAATTTTACAATAATGTCAAACTCCAAAAACTGTATACTGCATTTTGATATGCATGTCATTAGTAAAGTTACTTTTAAATTTTAGTTTTCGGCTTTGTAAAAACACTTATTATCTGTTTTAAAAAATATTCTCAGCTTTATTCTCATTTTAAAATATATTTTATGCTGCAACACATTGAATCATGTGCATATATTTCATCAAAAACTGTAAAAAAAAATCCTAACTTTAATATATTCAATGAGACTATATTTACATTACTTGTTAAAATTTAAAGTCAGGTTCAGAACAAATCTAGACATGTAAATACCTCAGATATCTTTCATATTATTAGTCAAAATAAGGATATTACTAAATTTGTATTTAAAAAATTAATTGCGATTAGTTCCATATATTATTACATTTGTATTCAAGAAATTAATTGCAATTAGTTTCATATGTTATTACATTTGTATTCAAGAAATCAATAGCGATTAGTTCCATATATTATTACATTTGTATTCAAGAAATCAATAGCGATTAGTTCCATATATTATTACATTTGTATTTAAAAAATTAATTGCGATTAGTTCCATATATTATTACATTTGTATCCAATAAATTAATTGCGATTAGTTCCATATAATATTACATTTGTATTCAAGAAATCAATAGCGATTAGTTCCATATATTATTATTACATTTGTATTTAAAAAATTAATTGCGATTAGTTCCATATAATATTACATTTGTATTCAAGAAATTAATTGCGATTAGTTCCATATATTATTACATTTGTATTCAATAAATTAATTGCGATTAGTTCCATATATTATTACATTTGTATTCAAGAAATAAATAGCGATTAGTTCCATATATTATTACATTTGTATTCAAGAAATTAATTGCCATTAGTTCCACATATTATTACATTTGTATTCAAGAAATAAATAGCGATTAGTTTCATATGTTATTACATTTGCATTCAATAAATTAATTGCGATTAGTTCCATATATTATTACATTTGTATTCAAGAAATTAATTGCCATTAGTTCCATATGTTATTAGATTTGTATTCAAGAAATCAATAGCGATTAGTTCCGTATTCGCTGTCGCTAGTACTAAAAACATAACGTTTTCTTTCAGTTGGACAAGTCTCATGGAGGTCACGTGTATCTTAAGGCAACAGACATGGATTCTGAGGGTACTTACAGATGTGAAGCGTCAGCCGAGGCTCCTTCATTTCAAACTGTAATGGGGGAAAAGAAAATGAAAGTGTATGGTATGTGACTGACAAAATATTTGCCACTTGTTTTTATATGGGTTTTTTTTTCACGAATAATGATATTTTATGTTAGACCTGATTTTTAGTGACTCAAATGGCTGTAGATTACTTATCTGATTATAAAAGATCATACAGTTAAACTCGGTATTCTGATACTTGTCACGAAGCTAGATAAACACTGGATGATTATAGTCAGTAGATGGCAGAACCACTACGTATTTTCACGCTGGCAAAAAAAAACAAGGAAAAAAATGGTTTACATGCCTGAAATTGACATGGCGACGTTTATACTGTGTTTGATTGCATTTATAGCAAAGTTACTCAGGCTATCTATCGTCGTCCCTAATTTTTAATTATTGACCAGTCAGCAGCACTCGACCACCCACCTTCTACGTTGAGGGATTAACTGTCATTTTTATAACGCACCTACAGCTGAAAGTGAGGGGAATATTCTGTAATATCGCACACTGGTCGCTAGCTTCAAAAACGGGGCTAACTTGCGCACGACAAGAGTTTCTAAAGAAAAATAAAACGCCATCTATAGTGTATTCAGTAACTATAAGTGTAACAGTTGATTGCACAACGTTTTTAAACCTATTAATTTGGGCAAAATTGTACGGCATATATATTTCCACAAATGGTCTATTTGTCACATTTAATTCTATATATATATATATATATA